ATTAGCAATTTTGATCAGGAACTTTGAATTTAGGGATGAAGGAAAAGTGATTAAAAAGAAATTGAGTATAGTAGCAACACCAGATCCTGGTATCAAGCTTTGGGTAAAGAAAGTGGATACAAATTGAAGAAGTATGATTAGTAGTAAACACATTACTTGTATGAATTTGATGCTTTAAACCATTTATTTGTATTTTTATTTAATCTATTAAATTTATTAAATTTGTTTTTATACCCATGATATCATTGTTAATATAATTATAACCCATTCAACGGTCATATTTTACATGACTAATACTTAATTTTTTTTAAAAATTCAATGGAGTCTTGCTCTAATAAACTTTTAATAATTGATCACTTGTCATCATAACAATTGTACATTTATTATAACTATCTATCAGTCCCTAACCTAAGTTGCAAGCTCAACTGATTAACCCATTGTTCTCCTCGTTATCTAGTTACTTTCCTGTTTTTATTTAGAATAATGTGCGCGAGGGCTTAAAATGAAAGCTTTGTAATATATTAAATGTAAATCACCTATAATGTAATAAAATTAGTTACTTTGGATACTCCCAAGGTTACATCACCTTATTGATCTTATTGATATAATTGTCATAGCACACGCATGGAAAAATCAAGCTCTTACTATCAATTATTCCTGTTTAGATTTTTCAGGAGTAGTTGTAGCAAAAGGTTATTCTCTGGAACTGTTATGTATGTTATTTTATTATTCATATATGTAAATAATATATATGCATATGTGCATTAGACACGTAAAAGTTGATGTCCGGAAAGATAAAACTGCAGCAACAATTCCCTCGTGCTTTATACTGGTTTTATGGGCTCTGAAAATCGATGAAGAACAAAAAATCTTATAAACGAAAATTCTGATCATAGACAATTTAATAGGAACTTTTTCAATTAAAGATTTTTAAAAAATGGGTTAACTGCTGGTCCGCCTAAGAACGTCACTATTTATATGTAAAAAAATTGGGGAAATCTATATGCATTACTATAGGCTGGAATCTGGACAGCGTATATAGGTATGAAATTTTAGTATCTGCTATTTGTAACACTTGTGCCAACAGATTATAGTTTTATTAAATAACTTATTCCCAAATTTTATATAAATGGTGCCGTTCTTAGGCGGATCAGCAATTAACATTGAAAAAAAAAGTAAAATTTTATTTAAAAATGGTGTGAAGGCTTTTGAATTATTAGAACAAAAAGGGTATGGTGGCGGGTAAATTATTTTAAAAGGAAAATAGATAATGGTACAAAGTTGTAACAAATTGACTTTAATTCCTTTATAAACTATTATCCCCTCATTACTTAGCTGATTCGATTCAAAAATCTTATTATCTAACAAAATGCTTGAATTACCAATTTTTTTGGTGGCATTATTGGTAGGATATTATACCTATAAATGGATTATTTATCCATTATATCTTTCACCTCTTTGTAAAATTCCTGGTCCACCACCCGACCACTTTTTGTTGGG